CCAGAGACCAAACAGCGCCAAAAAAAATAAATAAATAAACGGGTTCCACAGCAGCACCTTCAACCTGCAGGTCTTGAACCCGGAGCCGTTGGGGTCAAAGGTCAGCACTCACCATAATGTCCTCATCTCGTTCTCAGAACAACAACAACTCAATCTGACCAGAAAATACAAATAAAAACCATCACTAGGTCTCTGCCATTCTAGTGTGCGCTGATGGACTGCTCTTATACCTATTTGTGTCGTGCTACACAGTGACTTGAATTTGTATATAGTTGTACAAATATCATGGTTGGACTTTTTATCACACATTTTTATTTTTATTTTTTATTTTTTTCAAAATAAATAAATATTGGGGGTCAATATTTATCTAATGTATAGAATTCAGAGAAAAAAATGTCAGAATTGCAAGATTATATTTTACAATTCTGAAAGTCAAAATTGTGAAATAGAAAGTAGCAATTACATTATTTTTATTTATTTTTATTTATTTTTTTTGATGTGGAAATGGGCTACCATAGATTACTATGAATTGTATTTGTTCAATATATTTAAATAATATAATACATATGATCTATATGTAACTAACAAAACAAAAAGACAAATTCAAATGGATCAAAAAGTATCAAATTACCATGCATGTTAAAATAAATGATCAAAACTAGGAAACAATTCAAATAAACAGAATAACATTAAAAATGTTCATCTGTGGGCAGTAAAATAATCTAATTTGACAGTGCTTTTGCATGTGGTGTAGCGTGTAATGCATATCTCAAATGCATGCAGTCAATATTGGGCTGCAAACATTTCAACATGTCTTTTAAATGGACAGTTCATAGCACAGACACATCAGAGATAAAATATTTAATAAATGATTGACCATTTATCATTTGTACCTGCATTTATTATCATACAAAGCTATTTATACCTGATGTTACCAATAAAAGTAGTTTTGTTAGTCCAAATTGATGTATATAGGTTGGTTCAGTGATCTTAAATGATATTTTTTACTAGAATAAAACCAATTATTTTACATGTTCCCAATTTTACGTAAGGGTGTACATACTTTTTCCGTCCATGTGGGAATGTTTATGTGGCATGTTCATTAAATGCATGCACACACATCATGTTTTATTAGTTTATGCAGACTGTGTGACTTAGCCGAAGAGCAGATCGCATTTTATGCAGAAATCAAGAGGGTGCACATACTTTTTCCTCACGACTGTATCCGAACATAAAAGGCGAGGATGATCGTTCAGATGATCACTAACAGTCCTGTAGTCAGTGCGATGTGATGCATTCATGTTTACTTCATAACATCAGTGTGAAACACAAGCAGTTCAGTTCATCAAAACACATGAGACGAGCTCTTGATCACGCGACCGAAGCGCTCGCGGCTACGCAGACCGCGTGTTTGATCGCTTCTCACCGGCGGGCCGTTTTCCTCTCTGAGCTCCTGCTTTACTGCCATTTGTATAATGGATGACAGCAGAGATGAATACAGTCGTATTATTAATGTAAGACTGACAGATAGTGACGTGAGTTATGGCCGCCTTTAGTTCAGAGTCGCCGTTTCATGAGGCCTTTCACTAAAAGCCATACATAAATGTCATCCGGCAGTGACCATAAACTATTACACAGGCAATTGGTTAGAAGATTTCCTCTGTTATCTATCACGGTTATTTACTCGTGTTTCTTTGTGGGAGCAGACGGACCGTGTGCGTCTGAACCGTACGGCGATCCGCTTCATTACGAGGCGTGTTGTATTTTGCAGGTGTTTGAGGCTTTGTGAATGAAGCGTATTTGAGGAGACGCACCTAAAAGCTCTATTACTATGATAATGGAGCAGAGGGAGAGAGAGGAGGCCCCGGGCTAAATGTAGAGCCGCGGTTTTGCTCAGAAACGGCTTATTTAAATATCAGACCTGCATGTGCAAGGAATTGAGCGCTAACCCGTGACACAGGTACTGATGCGCAGAGGACACGGGAATCAGACTCTTTCAGCATGCACTTATTTCGCTTATAAAAATAAAACCATAAAAACTGACCCAAATGAGTCACTAGCTCTCACACGCTACGCTGACAAAAAAACGATTCATTGAATTTACTAAAAAAAAAAAAAAAATTAAGGTAAGTGGTTGCATTCGATTTATTTTAGCTACATTTAAATAAATTTAGTTTACTAACTTTTTTTTTTTTTTTTAATGTAGCTAAAAGAAATTGTTTGCAACCACTTACCTAAAAAAAAATAATAGCATCTTTTTCAGTGTAAGGACAGCAAATTTAGGACATAAAAACGTCGCTGAAATGTCCAGTTTTATTGATTATATTTTTTTTTTTAATGTAGCTAAAAGAAATTGTTTGCAACCACTTACCTAAAAAAAAAATAATAGCATCTTTTTCAGTGTAAGGACAGCAAATTTAGGACATAAAAACGTCGCTGAAATGTCCAGTTTTATTGATTATAACGTTATTTAAAGGTTACAAAAACGTCTCTTACAACATTCTGCTAACATATAACATTTTTGAATGTTTATTTTGAATATTCTACGAACGTTAAAATGTCTGGTTTTCTTGTTGTGATTATAATGTTATTTAAAGGCCACAAAAACGTTTCTTAAAATGTTCATCAAGTACAAATAACATAATAAGGGCATTCAGAGAATGCTGTTCTAAGAACGTTTTCTCAACATTAAGAGAACATTAATAAAGTACAAATAACATCATAAAGACATTTCAAGAATGTTGATCTCAGAACATTTTCTCTCAACATTATGAGAGTGTATATCAAATATTAATGAAGTTGTAAGAACATTCCATAAACCATTACTTTAAGAACATGTTGTCCTAACATTTATATAACTTTTGAAAAACGTTCAAAAGTACATTCCCTGTTAGCTGGGTCCAGCTAACAAACATACGTTTTAAAAACATTGCGCTAATGTTCCCATGAAATTATGAAAACATTATTTCTGAACATATAAAACATTTAAAGCATTTTTTTCTTGGTTATACAAATGTCAAGGGAACATTCCATTTTATCAAACATTATGGGAATGTTACTTTCAAATGTTCTCTGAACGTTCTGAAACAAGTAGCAACATTTTAAAAATGTTACTGTTTTAGAAAAAAACAAAACATGCCATGAATGATACACAGACAATGTTTTTGTGCTAACATTTTGAGAACATGATTAAAGTCCAGATAACTTTGAACAAGTGTTCTATTAATGTTACTAAAAGAACGTTTGTTCATAACTTTGAGAGAACCTTGCAGGAACATTCCCTGTTAGCTGGGCTGCAGTTTGAATACAATCTGGTCATTAAATGAGTCGTTTAAATTGGTTTTAACACAATTTGATCTTTGAGTACATGGGAGTGTATCTCATTATGTAAATTAATTATGATGCAATATTGAATCTCTGCTGGTCTCCGCCCACTGCTGCGGTCATGTGATCATCTCAGGTGGGTTCTCACACCTGTTCTCTTTAACCTGCTATCAAAACAAGCATTAATAAAATAATCATAATAATAATTAATGAAATCTTAGACCTTTGATTGCATTGGTATGACGTATGTGAGAAACACTTCAGCAAAAGTCTCCATTTGCTCTTGGCCTCACTGCTGGCAAATAAAAATAACCGAGTTAATATTAAAGAGATCTCGTGTTCAAAAGCATTGTCCAAACAATAACATTTATGCAAAATGCAGCGGTCTGCTAGTGGACCAAGCGTGGCGATCGATACTGGACACAGAGATCATGTGTGAGCGCTCATGTCATCATTTACACTCACGGTATAAACTAATACACATCAAACACTGCAGCGCTGCGCCTCAGGACATCAGATCTGCGCTCTATATTACTGCCAAACATTAAAACAGCAGAAAATCAATCCTACACAGCTGCCGTGTTTGAGAAGCATCTTCAGCATTGCATTGGAACTCCCACCCGATATTTGTACAGTAGTCTGAATACGATCTGGTCATTTAATGAGCTGTTTTAACTGGAATACAGTTCAATTACAATAAATGATTTATGATGTGATTCTGAAACTCTGCTGCGGTCATGTGATCATCTCAGGTGGGTTTTCACACCTGTTCAGTTCAACCTGCGCACGAGAAAGGTTTTAAAGAACCGGGATTCCCACGGTCTTGGAAAACCTGGATATATAAGGAAAACTCATTGTGGTGTTTTCTAGACCTGGAAAAGTCATGTAAATTAATACATTTACTTATTTTATTAAAAATATATAAACTGCATGGGGATTTTTTTTCTATTTATGCCAAGCTCTAAAATATTTTATTGTGTAGAAAGTACAAAACATTTCTTTTTTTAATCTTTAAACCTGTGAAACCTGACATATGAAATAATAATTATATATATATATATATTATTTTTTTTTCTTTCATTTTATTAAAAACATTTTTTTTAAATTGTTTTAGTTAACTAAAATGTTAATAAACTAT